GACAAAAAGATATGATGTTTTCTTAAATTTAGATTCTACGTATACCTGTTCCATACTGCTCGGAATGCGGATCCGGGACGCAGTAACCCCGCACAACACAAATCTCGTTCATTCCGCATTGCTTATTGGTTTTGCACTCTAAAATACTTCAATCATATAACCTTTAACCTTGAGATCCATACCATTGTAATAATGGACTTATTATAAAAAACGAAAAAATATTTTAATACTTCAATCATATACTCTCAAGAAACATGGCATATTTGACTAATTATATCATCCGCTATAACCGTAAATTTAATTAATCTATTACTTATATAAGAATAAGAAATAAAGCATCATCCTTTCTGGCTAGCTTCTGATTTTTTACAATCTGCATTGCTGTCACTTCGTAATACGATAGTCTGTTATCAAACCAAATTTCAGCAATGTCGGTGAAACATGAAAAGTTTATAAATTAATGTATTATTTTCGGATATATCTTCATGACTTGCAAAGCAAGTCTATATTTGTATTAATTTACCTGAGCCAAATTTTTCGTCAAAACCAAGTGACGGGTGGGGGACACAATGTCCATCAACTGTACAAAGCTGTTGTGGATTACATTGGCTGTCATTCACGCACGCTGAAAATGAAGGGCAATGAATATTGAATTTATTATGATTTCATAAATGAGCAATTCTAAAGATTTAATTTGATCAATTTGAAAATCAACTCCAAGTTGATTTTTTTAAAAGATTAACTTAAATCATTAACTGATCAAATATCAATTAAAGATCTGATCAATTTAAACAGCCACCAAACTTTTTGCGCTCCACTACGATTATTTGGAAGCCAATTTATGAATATGCATGTTCTGTCCCTACAAATTTCATCTGTTCTGCAATCCGCGTTGATTTTGCATATTATTTCCGGAATAAATATTACATTTAATTACAACTGGTAAGGACGCCATAATTAAAGTGACAAATCCCAAAAGTTCAAATTGGAACTAATAAAAAATTTGTAGTTTGGAGTTTGAAATTCAGAACTAAGTTTAACTGAAAGTTACTTTATATGAGAAAGTTTGTAGTAATATTCAGAATTTTTAATGGCATCAACAAATGTCTAATGTCATATTATTTCACAAAGTGTTACTTGCTGATATCCAAGAAGTTGTTTCCGAGTTCGATGAGATAGAATCGGCCACAGTTGTTGTCAAAAATTCTATTTCCGCAAATGTTTGAAGTTCTGCAACATTCAATGCTTCAGATGTCGCTTCCATTAGCGTCTCAAATGTTGTTTCATGCGGTGTATCAGATGTTGTCGTCTCCAAGGTTTGAAACGTCGTCTCATCCATTGCCTGATATGTCATCTCTTCGCCTGCATTAGATTTTATCGATTTTGATCACTCATTGCCTCAGAGCTTCAGATTTATATAAAGGATTTTCAAAAGTTTCAAATTCAAAGTTACATTTGTTGGTAAATAAGAAAGTAGGATCCGGATGAGATAGTTTAGGACTGCGAAAAAAACACAACATGAAGTAAATAATCAATGAAATCAACAAATGCCTAATGTTATATCATTTCATAAAATGTAACTTTCTGAATTCCAAGAAGCTGTTTCCGAGTTTGGTGCGACAGAATCGGCCACAGTTGTTGTCAAAAATTCTATTTCCGTAAATGTTTGAAGTTCTGCAACATTCAATGCCTCAGATGTCGCTTCCATTAGCGTCTCAAATGTTGTTTCATACGGTGTATCAGATTTTGTCGCCTCCAGGGTTTGAAACGTCGTCTCATCCATTGCCTGATATGTCATCTCTTCTCCTGCATTAGATTTTATCGATTTTGATCATTCATTACCTCAGAGCTTCAGATTTATATAAAGGATTTCGAAATAATATTCAAAACTACATTTATTGGTAAATAAGAAAGTAGTATTTGGATGAAATGGTTCAGGATTGTCAAAAAGACGCAACATAAAGTAAATAATCAATGGAATCAACAAATGTCTAATCTTATATCACTTCATAAAATGTAACTTTCTGAAGTCCAAGAAGTTGTTTCCGGGTTTGATGCGACAGAATCAGCCATAGTTGTTGTCAAAAATACTGTCTTAGTAAATGCCTGAGGTTCCGTTTCATTCACTGTGTGCGACATTTCCTCATTTGGTATGTGGGATATTGTTACGTCTAGCGTTTGAGTCTTTGTATCCCTCAATGCCTCGGATGTCGTCTCCATTAGCGCCTCAGATGTTGTTTCGTACGATGTATTAGATATTGTCGTCTCCTGCATTTGAAATGTTGTCTTATCCATTACCTCATATGTCATCACCTTTTCTCTTGCATCAGATTTTATCGGTGTTGATTTGCATGGTGACAAAGCCGATCCCTCGAAATCACTTGTTGTCACTGGAGACTCAAAATTTTGCACGCATAGACCATTCAAACACGTCTGCCAGGACATACAGTGATAATCAATATCACAAGCTGAAATAACTTTTCCTTATGTTTCCTTTTTCCTTTCCTTATTAATAAAGATTTTTCTTCTCAGCAATTCTCAGCAGCGCAATTTACAACCGCCAATATAACGCAGGCGTGGTTTTACGTGTACGTTGAAGACAGGTATTACTCTTTTTCCTCAAACTGATCGAAAATAATATGAAAACTTTAAGTAAGAAAAATATTTTAAACTACCTCATCTGCATAAAACTCGAATATATTTTAGAAAAATTTGAAAAATGATAATTCCTCAGGATTGAAATCTAAAAATTTGCAAGAAATTAATTTTGATAATTTGACTATACACGGAAACGGTTTTCTTGTTCCTCGCATTGTTAATATCGCCAGTAAATCCGGAATGCACTTCTTTTCGTCGCAAATTTGATCAATATCGCAATCTTTATTACATTTACAACCTGAAAAGGCCATTAGCTTGATTTGAATTAAATTAAATTTGAATGAAATAATTTGTTAAAGATGAACTTGGAATTTGAGCATTTAATTGTTATAATGTCCGCTGTACGATTGCTGCGACATCATAATTAATAGTGCTTGAATAAATAATAAAATTAAAATTTCACCATTTAATTGTCAATAAAAAATCAATTCAGAAAATGGAATTAAATCTTTGAGTTGAATTGAAAATGCCTTTGAGTTGATTCAAAATGAATGTAAATGGAAAAAATCTAATAATAATTAGTTTCTTCCTGTTTCCTGAGCGCGAATGTTTCGTGTTGGATCGTTAAACTGCCGTAAAGTCCATCAACTTTTTCCCAATTTCTATTTTAGACAAGCTTAACCGATCGATTAATAGCACTTTGAATGTTTAATTTATCGAAGATTCTTTGAATCTCCGCAACCTTTAGTCGACACGAACTGAATGCTTTTTCCGCAATGAAGAAAAAAGCAAATTTTTTTTTATCCTAACTCTACACTATTAACCAAGCTGAACTGACCACTTCTTAAGAAGAGCTAAGAGCAATCGCATCATTGGATACTAAGAAGAGTTACACAGCGATACTAAATCGTAGGGATTCTACATCAGTAGAAATTCGGCAAGGTATCGTGATCACTTTTTTAAGGAAAACTAAGAGCGATCGAATCAATTTACCACTATGATATCATGTCGAATTTCTACTGATGCAGAATCCCTGCGATTTAGTATCTCTGTATAAAACTAAGAGCGGTCGTATCAATTTACCACTATGATATCATGCCGAATTTCTACTGATGCAGAATCCCTGCGATTTAGTATCTCTGTATAACTCTTCTTAATATCCATTGAATGAAAGATAAAAAGCTAAATTCTCTGGCAAATCGCAAAGGAAAATGAAGATTGAGAAAATTATCATAGCAGCACTTCATGAAAGTAATAGCAATAGCAATAAAATACAAACTTACTTTTGCCATAAGCGCCAATTATAAGATCATAAAAGATAAGAGATAATAGTAACTTTATCATTTTAAATTTTATTTGCAAAAGAACCAAATGAAATATTCCTGAAAATATAGGTTGAGTGATCATTGTGCAAAGTTATGTTGTTTCAAAATATCATTTCCTATGACGACAAAAGGGTAAATCGAACGGTACATGGCTTTGTGTTCAAAAATTTTAGGAAAAGGATTTTACTGTCACTTATATGATAATTGGATATGGGAATGTAGAAGGTTGGAAGACATTAATTGAAAATATACCTGGTAAGGAACATATGAAAGATAAAAATTCCTTTTCTTCATGTTTAAATACGACAGGAATAATCGGGAACAGCGAATGGATAATCGGAAAATGTGTCATTCAAATGTTATACATGTTAAAAATTTAGTGTTTTTGTTTTAAATTTACAGTCAAATTCGTGTTTTTGATCAATGTTTAATTGAAAATAACATAGTTCAGTAAATTGGATAACATTATGATATCATAGGTGCAATTCAATTTTAAATTTATCAAATTATCTTATTTTTTTCCATTTTAAAATATTTGAAAACCTAAGATATCATTGCAAGAAACAATCAAAATTTCAATTAATCAAATATAACGAAATGAATATGGACAAATAAGTTGTATGAATATTTTAAATAATTAATATTTTTAGTTAATCAGCTATTCTTTACATCTTCGAAAACATATAAACTTCGTAAGTTTATTTTATCAGTATGAATTCATTAATTTTTGATGTTTTGAAATAATTTTAACCTCCAAAGGTAAATTGATCATTTGCACATTTGCTTGCACTAAAATAACCAATAATTTGAAAAGCAAATAAATGATGGAAGAAATTATCTTACTATTTTTGCATAAGATTTCATATGCTAACATCATCTCAGTTATGTTGTCGAGAATAAATGTGACAAAGTTTCATGACAAAAAAAAATCATAATTGAATATGTAGTAATGTATTAATTTGTATGTAGAATCCATGTTCGATTATGATTTAAAAATTATCCAAATTCTTTCCTGCATAAGTAGAGAAGTTATCATTGCATAGACTTATAATATGTAGTACTTTTTATTTAGCGATGTACTTCAAAGAGTGCCACATTTAACGCGCGCTAATAGCGAATGCTTTATTAGTAGCATAAGTTAACAAAGGTGCTAATCTTTGTAATCGTAAAAGTAATCCTTTACCAGATGGATATTCTTTCCTTCTTTTATTCTTCGGTTTAGCATCTTCGAAAATTCAGATTCTGGCGAAGTCTTTGTTTTCAAAAATTCAGATTCTGGCGTCTTCGAAAATTTAGATTCTGGCGAAGTTTTTGAAATTGCCTTATGTATTACAATGTTTGTTTTGTAATTCTTAATAATTATGCTACGCTAATACTGTATCATTCTTGAATTATCAAATGTTGAATATTTACGATATTACAATGATTCTGCAAAATTGACCATTAATAGGTGTTACATTTCATTGATAAAAATCATCGCAAATGCTCAGTTATTTTAAATTTATTGATGAAAAACTTGATTTAAACGCTGAAATTCAATATACCTATGAAAAGCGAATTGGACTATTGAATTATAATTAATAATCTTTTGCCATTTAAATTTAAATGTTGAATTTATATCATTATATGATCTCTATGTTGTATTAACATCATTCTATGACTGACAGTGTTTTCACCTTTTTAATCTATATACACATATAATTTAACCTTTCCTTGTGTGTGTTTTTTTTTTTTAATGGTTTAATTATCCAAATTTGGGTTTTGAGATGGAAATAAAGAGAATCTATGTCGCATGTCACATGTCACGCTATGCAAAATTTCCAAAAAATACAAAAATTTCCCATTTTATATCTTGTCCAATGTATTTACTAAACATTGCGAAAAGATGCCAGAATAAGTAAACTTCTCAATCGTGCTTAAATGAATTTTATCTTAAAAAAAAAAAAAAAAAAAAAAAAAACTAAGTAAATTTACGATATTCACTTTATCAATTCTCCTCCTTGCCTCACTAATATTATATGCAGTAATATCGTACAATGAAGTAATTTTATCTGAAAAAGAATTGATATCATTCAATCAATCAGTGTTTAATGACGAATTTAAAGATTAGAATAATTTTCGTGAAATAAAATGTTTTAACAAATTATCAAATAATAGTTCCAATAAGATATTTGTATTTTAGTATTATTTTAAAATAGAAACAAAATTTTTTGTTACATTAAAATTCTTATCGAAATTTTGGATAAAAAAATGCTTTAATTAATAAATATCTAATTTGTTACTTGTTAATTGTTAAAATAATAAATTATTATTGCACAGGTAAAAACATTGATAATAAACAAACAAAGGAAGTGAAAAATAATCACTTAAAAATACAACTTTTAAACGTTAAATATTCCATGATTAATATTAGAAATTAAAAAAGAAAATGATAATAACTTGAAAATACAATTTTTCAAACATTAAATGTCACATTTTACATATTTACAAAAATGTAAGGATTGTTTTTTTTTCTTTCAATTTTCATGGTAATGTTTCAGAATTACTTGCAAACAAATGATTTTTAAATTCCTCGATATAAATTCCATAACCGGTTGACTCCATTTTTCTTTTTCTTTTTTCTTTTTTTTTTGCATCCACCATTTTTAATTGCGTACACAATTTATTTTCTCGATCAAAATATGGCCATTTCTTGTTTAATGAATGATAGATAGGATTATCAACAAATATAATGAACCACAAAGATGAAGGAAAGGTTGATAAATGGAGTTAATTAAATAAAATAAATATCGGTAAAGAAAAAAAAAACAATAAAAGAATTCTTGAAAGAAATATCAATTTAAAAAATTAGTGACTTGTGTTTTTTTTTTTTGTAATTTAAATTTCAAAATCAAATTTAAGTTTATTCAAAATTACACTTAATTAATTATTAGTTTTTTCTTTTTTCTTCAAATCTTTTACCTAAATTAAATGTTACAAATTGGAAGATATGCTAATTTCTATTGAAAAATGTTTAAAAGTTGTTGTTATTGGAAATAAAATACCAATAATCAATAGAAAATAAGGAATTAAAAACTCGAAATATTGAGTAACTCTTTAAAATTTGCATCTAAAAGTTTAAATTTGGAATTGTGAGAAAATTTTGTAATTATAAAGCATAAAATAATATTTGTTACAAATCAAGCACAATAATTAGTGATAACATTAAAGCATACAGTTGATAGTATCAGTACAAAAAAAAAAAAAAAAAATGATAAATTCTAACAGTTCTATCTTATCAATTTCTATAAATGCAGCATTTTTTTAATAAGTTATATTCTCTTGATGCTTGCTTTTCAAGATTGTTAACAGTTGTTATCAAATGTCCATTTAAGAAATAAAATTTTTTTTTTCATATCAGCAAATATAGTAGTTGAAAATCGTAGCCAGATATGATTGAGGAATAAATTATCGGGAAAATCAGGTTAATTAGTAAAATAGATGAATTGTTTAATTAATTAATGGATAGAATAAGTGTTGTACTCAGCTGTTTACATTAATAAATTTGAAACAAAACAGTTCATTTAACATTTTTCGATTGATCACTTTTTAAGGCATTTATACAGTATTACCGGTTAATTGTAATCGTATTGGATTTAAAATCGAATTATCGGATTGTGATTTATGCAAAATTCGTAATTTCGATTTCATTCGTCGTTGTTGTAAAATCCTTGCATTATGTTCATTTTCTTCTAATTCACGATCAACAATTCCGGAATCAATTGATCCGTTTGCCGAACAATGTCCTATAGAAATTGTAGTAATTCATTTTTTTTTTTTCTTCATAAATTAAGATTTTTTTTCTTTTCTATCGAATACAAAATTTACAAATATAATTTGAAATTAAAGAAAAGAGAATTAATTATTTTGGAAAAATAATCAGCTAATATATCAATTTTTATCAAATTTTTATCTTAATTAAAATTTATACAAAAAAAAAAGAAAAAAAAAAGAGAAAACGTTACTTTGGAAATTATTCAAGAATGGTTGATCACATTTTTCATGTATACAATCCGATGACATATTTTGTTTCCTATTTACGGATTTGAATAATGCCTCTGTCGTATAAACTTGTTTAGGGGGTTGTTTCAATTGTAATTCAACAAGATTATCATTGTTTCGTAAATTTCACAACGTTTTCGAACACATAAATTGGGATTTTTCATAATGGAAATATTTAAAAGGATAAGAATTATCAGTAACATTAAGCAAATAATTATGATAAGCATTTGTTTGGTTGTTAACGGTGTAAAATCAGCTGTTGATGATATTGCTGAAATAGAACGATAAAATTACAAAAGTTCCCAAAAAAGATTGTCAAAATTAAAAAAAAAGTTTAGTTCAGCTTATTAAAAAAGTAAAGTAAAGTAAAGTAAAGTAAACCTGCAGTCATGATGGGAAACTTATAGAGATAGTGAGAAGTAAAGTAAAGTAAAGTAAAGTAAAGTACAGTCATGGTGGGAAACTTATAGGGATAATGAGAA